GTCATATAAATATTTATAAAGTGTTACGTGTTTAATTTGTTACATTCATACATTTGTACTGTATTGTTATTACATTTAATTAGGAAAAAAATTTTTTTTTAAATTGTTCAAATTATTATATTAATAATAATTGATAGTAAACATTAATATTTAATTAATTATACAGGCACACAAATAAAAAAAAGTAGGCTATAAAAAAAAAGATGGTACCTATGTACCCTTATGTTTTTTGATGCGCTAAATCCGAATCCATCGTCAGAATTGATCCTACACCCTTCAGTTACTCGTATTCGGGGTACATTACCCCTAAAATTTGGAAAATCCCTTCTAAACTTGGATTCTTCCGTTTATAATAAATTTTCATAGATAAGTTGGATCCCGGTGTAATATTTACAACTACAGCTCTGTATTTTAATGAGCTGAAGTTGAATTTCGGGGTTCAGAGACATGCAACCCCCTAAGTCTGTAGAAAACCACCCCTAATACAAAAAAATTCTTGTCGTGGCAGAAAATGGCGGAGATTGACAAAATCGGAGTATCCGATGCCAAACTTAAAGTAAAGTTGCCTCATTCCATCATTGCAAGCACAGATAAAATGTGTTTTATGATGCAGGGGAGTGAAACCCTAGTATCGGCGGCTGGTCAGGGTGAAAAAGCGGGCCCATAGGCGTCGTCATCATGCTACCGCAGTTCTACAGAAGTGGGAAACTTGGTTTCTGTAGAGTATGAAGTTACAAGTTATGATCTAGTATATCACGACTGCACAGAGAGTGCAGACGTGTTCTGCTATGTATGTGGCGACTTTTGAAGATTTAAGAATAGGAGAAAGATCAATGGTTTTCGGATATCTTACTGCAGGTTTAGAGGTTTGTGACAGGGTTATAGCGATGTTCGCTAGCCCTGTGTACGGCTCTCTCCTCGCGTGAACGCAGCGACCAAGTGTACGCTATATAGCGACTACATACTTGTGTCGTTGCAGGATCTGGAGAGAGGAGCGCGACGATCGGCGAGGTGTCGCCGTGAGTGCGAGTGAGAGCGAGAAGAGCGAGAGCGAGAGAGAGCGATTATGACTGATTTTTGACGGCGAGAGAAGTGGGAGCGCGGCGGCGCGAGGCTTAGAAATTAAGAGAGAGGAAGGGCAGTTAGGCGCGAGCTCTCAAGTAATTAGGGCCGCCTAGAGAGAGACTGGACGGAGCGAGATTCGGCCGGAAAGGAACGACTGCCATCGGTGCGACTGCCACGTTTGCCGGGAAGCCAATAGTCCGAAGCCGAGCCAGTACAAGCAGCGACCATTCGCCGTCTACGAGGCAAAGGCCGTGCTGCGGCCCTTCCTGCAGCAGCTTCCATCGTCGCCAGGGCGCCGTTTCCTGCGGGACTACCCTTTCGTCGGCGTCGCCTCTCTGTCGACGGACCGTCGGCATCCGGTGGGTCCAAAGCCAGTTTATCTCTCTCGCGCCAGCTCTCGCTCGATTATGGACATTAGCGTATTTTGATTTTATCGCGCACGCTGAGTGATCTTGCTCGCGTGATCCCGCGAACTCTGGTCGCGGAAAGGTTGAGCGAGCGCGCTCACCGCGGCGAAGTTAATCTTGTAGCGATATTTATGAAAAGGCGTCAATAAATGAGATCGCCATATATAATATAATTGAATTAAAGTGTCCGATTCTTTGTATCAACCTTCCCCAACCAGAGCGAACTTCGGCCTGTGAAAGTCAGCGCCGGCTTTCTTTACCGAGAAAGAACCCAGAAAAATTAGCAAAGACCAGCCCAAGGCGCACGGAGGCTGACAACTCTTGCAGGTTGTACATCAAGATCAACGGGAATGACACATATTTTTTGCAGTTCGTGTCGTACAATGTTATTACGATATAGGACAATTAAAGAAAAAGATCAGCTTAAATTCACAAAGCCCATGATATGGTCAAAACTGATTTGTAAAGATGATTGCTATTTCTGCATGACAAAAATCACAGGCTTCAGTATCAACAACAAATCGAAGATCAAGTACGCTACGGTTTTCGCAGTGCAAAAGCCGATTAAAACAGAAACAGAGAAAGGAACGGTACATGAACCTATGGATATAGACAATTTAGAAGAGTTAGATGATGATCGGAATGAGACAAGCTAAGAGGAGGATAGTGAAGAATAAGGTGAAGATGAGAAATATATCATATTGAAAACGGCAACCTCTCAGACTTTCACTCAACAGGAATTGAACGATCTCATTCATGAACTAGGACTGTCTAAGGATGGAACTGAACATTTGGCGGTAGCTCTGAAGAAGAAAAACTTACTATCGAAAGGGACAAGCGCTTATACTTACTGAAACAGAGAACAAAGTTTCAGGAAATTTTTTACGAAAGATGATGAAAAGTCATTGGTATATGTGAAAGGTTTGGTAGATAAAATTAAACCAAATGTCTATAGAGAAGAAGAATGGGGGCTGTTTATTGAATCCTCAAAGTGAAGCCTCAAAGCTGTTCTTCTTCACAATTAAAAAACCTTCGCACCTCTTCCAAAAGCACATTCCACCAAGCTTAAAAAGACGTATAAGAATTTGGAAATAGTTCTGGAGAAGATCAAATACGCAGAGAACAAATGGAAAATATGCGGTGATCTGAAGATCGCAACACTTATTCTTGGTCCATAGTCAGGATTCACTAAATATCCCTGCTTCATCTGTTTGTGGGATAGTAGAGATCGAATCAACCACTATTAAAAAATGGAATGGACTAGGAGAGGAGAAATGGAACCAGGCTCTAAAAATATTATTCGCAAATCTCTGGTTGAGCCTACAAATATCCTCTTGCCTCCACTTCACATAAAACTTGGTCTTATGAAACAGTTTGTCAAAGCTTTAAACAAAGATAGTGATTGCTTCGCAGAATGAATTTCTGGGAATGAGCGATGCGAAGTTAAAAGAAGGAATCTTCGACGGACCACAAATTCGAACCTTATTTGCAGATTAGTACTTTGTTACGAGAATGAATGACACCGAGAAGAAACCATGGATCAGATTCAAAGCAGTAGTACATAAATTCCTGGGAAATCAAAAAAGTGATCAGTATCAGATTCTGGTTAATCAACTGCTGGAGAATTACTAGAAATTGTGTTGTTTGATGAATTTGAAATTACATTTCTTACATTCTCATCTGGACTATTTTCCCGCAAATCTCGAGGACTACAGTAAAGAATAAGGTGAATTATTTAATTGAGATATATAGGAAATGGAACCTAGATACCAAGGAAGATGGGACATAAACATTATGACAGATTTCTATTGGATGTTAAAGAGGAATACTGAAACTAAAGGAAAGAAGAGAAAAAAAAATCCACTACACAGATCGTTTGAAGTGACAAGGGTTTGGTACAAACGAAGAAAATGACGGATTTATGAAATAAGTTTACGGTTATTTTGATGCAGAATCAGTTCATGTAGACGCAGAGTAATTTTTTGACTATCAAAATTTTTCTTACCGTTACTATACTGAGGAAATTCTTTTTCTTTCGAACAAAAATTCCTATGTGATGTTCCGGATGAAGGAACAGTTTTTTTTCAGACTTAGGGAGTTGCGAGTTTTGAAAATTTCGAAATCCTGTTCTGCCTCGGAGGTACATACAATTTTACTCTTCTAGTTCAGCATTTGATACTCTGATACCATTACCGCAGTATTTCGTTTAGACAGGGAATGTTCCCGATTAAGGGTGGTTTTCTGCAGATTAGAGGGTTATAAATTTTGAAAACCTATAAATTATGCTCTGCACCTGAGTGTACGTGCAACTTTAAACTCTAAGCTTAGCACCGGATACTCCGATTCCGTCAATCCCCGCAATTTTCTACCATGACAAGAATTTTTCTGTATTAGGGGTGATTTTATGCACACTTAGAGGGGTGCATGGCTCTGACACCTGAAAATTCAACTTCAGCCCATTAAATATTACACCGGGGTCCAACTTATCTATGAAAATGTATTATAAACGGAAGAATCTAAGTTTAGAAAGGATTTTCTGAATTTTATGGGTAATTTACCCCGAATACGAGTAACTGAAAGGTGTAGGATCAATTCTGACGGTGGGTTCGGATTCAGCGCACCAAAAAAACATAAGGGTACATAGGTGCCATCTTTTTTTGATAGCCTACTTTTTTTTTATTTGTGTGCCTGTATTATGAAGATCTCATATCGTTGAGTACACATATACTTCATCAAATACGATGTCATTTCATGGATACCTATTACTAAGATGTAAAAAGTACCATATATACTTAAGGATTAGAGCAATGATTGCTCAAGAAAAACAGTAGCTGATACTTCGTTTCGGTTCACGGTCTGCAACTGACTGGCAGTGCTATCGTTGCTATGTGAGTGTAATCTAAATGTGAATTTTCTTTCAGTGCATGTGTCTTTCGCCAATTGATTGAGGTATTGCTGTCTGCAGCAGCAATATCATCGCCCAGATAATCAATAATAATTTACTTTACGAGCGTCTTTGATTTCGTCGCGTGCTTCGCGTCTTACCCATAGCTCGCACTTATGATTGATTTTTTTACCTTTCTTTCTCTGTCGCGAATCAACAAGAAAAAACAAGTGCGGCCTACAATTTTTCTTTGCGATCACGTGTATAATGAAATCTCTCGGCACGAATATATAATTAATGTATTGATGGAAAAGCAATAAACTCGTCTTATCTTTTCTTATAGTTTCATATCACAGTTAAAGATTAAGTAAGATGTTATCACAAGTAATCACCTGTGATAACATCCTACCAATCCTTGATCGCAATAAGAACCCATAATCTCATTTAATTCGTTTCTTGCTTTGTTTTATGTTTCCGTGCGAAACGTGTTTGCTACAACACAACTCTTAAGTAACAGGTCGGGACGACGGTTAGCCCCACAGCGAGAGATATTTCAACGGTGTTAATAATTAAATTTATTTAACTCTACCGAAATGATAACATTTTCCTATCGAACAACAGGATCCAAATAAAAAATTACTTACATAAATAAGGTACCGTAATTTCCGCTTTAGATCACTATGTTTTTCTTTATAAGTAGGTATGATATTTTTCGAGTTATTTTCATTTTTCATCCTCGTGCATCCATTTGGCATTTTATTTAATTATTCAGAATCTGGATCTTATCTAAAAAAATAAACACTTCATAAATAACACAACTTTATTATTGGTTAAGATAAGTATTAATTATTATAATAATTAAGTATAAATAAATAAAATTCATCGACTGTTACGTGCTAGATAATATATGTACACTCCCGGTCAAAAGTTATTGCGCATCCAAACATAAAATTACTAAAATTTCTAAGTTTTGCATCATTCAAATGTTCAAAGACATGGAGAATCGAAATTTAACGTTGTTTTGAAGAAAATGCTTTTAAAATCGCTGAATTTGAATACAGAGATGAGCACAAATTTCTAAAAAAAAATTTTATTTTTTAAGATAAGATTAAAGACAAATTATTTAAAATAATTGTGACTTTTATGTTTTGAAAGAATTTGGAAATACCTTTCAAATGAGCTCTAGCTGTAAGTTGATTTCGAACTGACAAGGAAAGGTACCCAACCAAGAACTCACCGATTTTTATACATATTGTAGAACATAAAAAAATAAGAGACAGGTTTTTTTTTATCGGGTAATTTTCACTTTTAAGGGGTAAAAACGTCCCCTAAAGTTAACCCCCAAAAAGCGTTTTTTTTTAATATCTCGGCTTAAAATTAATATTTTTCAGTGAAACAAATTGGAGGTTATTTCTTACAACCGAAGCAAGTATTTCATGGTAATTTTAAGAGTAAGGGTAGCATCCCCTATTTTTTAGAGGTTGAAAACATATATTTTTTGGCAAAATTTTATAATAAAAAAGTTTAAACCGACTAAAAAAATTGGAAAAAATGTGAAAATGTCCATAATAACAAAATTTAGTTGACGTCTTTCTTTGTTTTAATAAATATTACCCTAAGGGGGTAAACCACCCCTAACACAAAATAACTGTAAATATGTAATTCAATACATAATAACAAAATTTAGTTGATGTCTTTCGGTGTTTTAATAAATATTTATCTCTAAGGGGGGTAAACCACCCTAATACAAAATAACTGTAAATATATAATCCAATACATAATATTTCGTAGAAAGTTTGTATATAGAGGTTTTCGAGGTCATTGATTACAAATCTGTTATCAAATTTTTAAAATTTAAAATGGCGGACTAATATGGTGAACGGAAATATCGAAAAAAAAATTTTATATCTAAAAAGTTTTAAACGACCAAAAAACTTGAAAAAATTTATAAACATCTATAATAAACAATTAAGTTTTTTGGATGTTTTATAGATACGACCCTTAAGAGGGGGTAAACCACCCCTAACATAAGATAACTATAAGTACACTTCAATCCATAATATTTTGTAGAAGGTTTGTATATAGAGGTTTTCGAGATCACTCTTTACAAATCTGATATTAGATTTTGAAAATTTAAAATAGCGGAACCAATGTGGTGGACGAAAATGTCGAAAAAAAATTTTAACTTTCATAAAAACTTGTTTACAAATGTGTGATTTTTAAAACCTGTACATGTGAACTAAAGAGCCTTAAACCCTAAACCCCTAAACAATAAATAGGCTAGATGCCTGTGCTTTTTAACCAAACCACTTCAAATTCCTAAATTTGTAAACAAGAAAATTCTGTGTGTGAAGCAGTTTTATAATTTCCGTAGAAATTGTTATCAGAATATTATTGAAATTCCTTTATTGTAAATTTAACTTATAATATATTATTGTTTATAATATTAGAGTATAATAATTATAATCTACAATCTTTTATCTTTTGCCATAGTGCATTTTGTGTATTGAGCATAAAATATATTATTTTACGAAGTTTTTACAATAATGGTAGTCCTCATAAAAGTGTTTAAAGCACAATGCTTTTTTGCACCAACATCGTACAATTGCAATATTTGTCCATCCTTCTATTTCACAATGTGTTGTACAGGACTTTCCAAAACTGAAATCTATAGGATTATCAAATTTATCTGGTTTTTCATTGACGTAACCGCTTTTATACTAGGAATATTTAAACAAATCTATATATCTCGGTGAAGACAGTTGGTTGTGAACCAATGATTGAAGTTTAATTATATTATTTCTCACATGTAAATTCATATCATGATCCATTAACATTACATTATCAGAAAATGTTTGGACAAAGTTTTTCCAAATACGGAATCCATAGACATCAAGTGGTTGTATTTTTCCTGTGGTTCCAGTTGGAATTTTTTTTATATTAATAATTTTATTTTGTGGCATCGTTTCTTCTATAACTTTGTCACAATGACCACTCCAAGAATCAAGTAATAATATTAAGTGATGGCCTACATGGGGATAAAATATTTTTTACAACCAGATTTTAAAGTGATCTGCAATTAAACGACTTACTAATTAACTGATCAACGATATTACAATGTAAAAATAGTTATTAGTTCCCTTACTTGTTGTTAATTTTCCAGATTTGGATGCTTCCACGTACACGTTTTCTGGTCTAAATATGTTTTGTTCTACAATAGGGCCAAACTTGCCACTTGGTTCCTTTAAAACTAGAAATAGCGGTGACAACAGTTGTCCAGTAGCTGATATTAGTGGCTATATAGTATAACTATGCGTTGTTGCTAAAATTTACTGTACCAGACATTGCACTTGCTTTTCTCCTTCTACTGCTAATGTTCTTCCAGAATGTATTTCTAGCTGAAATCCGCTCTGATCTGAATTATACAAATTTTCGAGTCCAATCCTTGGTATACACGATTTAACGTCATCGATAAATGCTTCAGCTTTAGCAGTAAGTTTTGCACTACTTTCTAGCGTTTTTCTTGTTATGAACTTATTTATTTTCCTAGAAACTATTCTGTGTGCTTGCTTAAATTTGAGTAACCAATGTTTAGAAGCTTTGAATCTAATATCATCAAAACCAATTTCTTTTTTAGCTTATAAGGCCTATCGAATTATATCATCATCATGGATAATTGAACCACTGTCGATAGCTGCTTTAAAATTATCCAGGGTATACTGACAAATTTGTGCTACTTTTTCTCTATACGTGCCACCTTTATTAATTGAATTAGTCCAACGACGTAGCTGACTAATAGATGATACTTTTTTGAATCTGTTTTGCATTGTTTTTAGACTGAAATTTTGTTTCGTTTTGCTACTTCTCCAAAAATCTACAGCTCTTTTTTTGTATTTAAAATCTAGTTCTTCATTATCTGCTGTACATTGATTTGTTGGTGCTATATCCGGATCAGGAAAATGATGTTGCACTTCATCTTCAATTATTTCCGCATTATGGTCTATATACTCTTCTTGAAAATCCAAAGAGTCATCAGTAATCGTTTCTACATCGTTGAAATCACGTGTTGCATCTATTAAAATTTCTTTTATTTTTTCGGCCAACTCTGTTTCATGATAATTCGTGACACTATCTGGTATCTTTAACGCTTGAAAGTATGCTAATAATAAGTTTAGAACGTTTAACGGATTAATTTTCATTTTTCAATCTGAAATAAAAACAAGCGGTAAAATTTATACAAGCTATATTTTTGCATGTAAGGCACGACTGCTACATTTTTACCAGAATAAAACGAGTGAATGTAAATTGAATTAAATCATTAATTCATGCATTGAAGAAGAATTCTCTTTCCACTTTGTGATGTTCGGGAAACTCTATTTTTGGTTCACTTTATAGGCGCCGAAAATGATAGTTTTTATTCACATGTTATAAAAAAACTCTTTGAGTTTGTCTCCACCGAAAGTATACTGTTATATGCATGTAAATCGGGCGGAAAATAAACTTACGGGCGAAAAAGTACAGAAAAGGAAAAAATTTCCGTCATAGAGCTTACATTCCATTGTAGGGCTCTCTTTTCCGCGCTAGAGCGGAAAAGAGTGCTATAATTTCCACTCGAATTTAAATGTATGTAATAACACACTTACGGTGCAGATTAGACAAAAAATGTGGTGTGCATAATGGGTGGAAAGAAGACGATAATAATGAGTGATTGTCAGCCTCACTTCGCTAGGGTGACAACTGTCACACTCGTCTGTAATCGCCTTCTTTCCGCCCTTAATGCGTAACATACTAATGATGGTTTATGCCTAGTCGCAAGGCGAAAAATCACGCGATTTTCGTGGATCTTTTTGAGAAATTAAAACAGTCTTTTTGCTTACAGCAAATTGTTGGTTGAAAAGTAGATGTATTGAAAAACTTTCATGAATTTTGGTATTGAAAAATATTGTAAATTAAGGAAATTATAGCCATGTTAAGAAAACCTGTCTTTTTCAGAGTTGTTTTTCGGTGACGAAGATAAATTGAAAATCGTAAAAGCAATCGTCTTAAAATTTTGCTTCCTCCTAGAAGAAGCTTTGTAATAGTATAATTTTCAGCTTCATAAAAAAACTTCGTTTCAAGTTCAAAAAACGTGTTTTTAGAAAATGTCCGTACGGATGTGTGTGTGTGTGTGTGTGTGTATGTGTATGTTTTATCAACACATTTTTGATTTATAGTGAATTTTCGATTTTTGAAAAACGGTTTTTCTATTCTTCAGATGAAAAAAATGAAGATATTTAAGATCGTACAAATTGTTTTTGAAAGAATACCAAATACTTATCTTTTCACTAAAAGAACATTTACTTACAATTAGCTATAACCATAACTTTGTTATTCACAAAAAGGGTTTCCTTTTTAAAAACGTTATATCTTTTAAATTAAATCCGACTAGGCCCAAACATTTTCTAAAAATACGTGATTCAACCTCCAAACACCTTCAAACTTACTTCTATGAAGTTTTAACTGAAAATTTTACTATTATAATGCTTTCTCTGGGAGGAAGCAAAATGAAAAATTGAGTCTTCGAAAAACCACGTTATTTCATAAAACGGCCGTCATTTTCTTTCAAATAATTTTTCGAAAAACCCTTGTGAACCAACAATTTTTTGTAATAAAATACAGTTTTTAACTCCTTTTTAAAAAATCACCGAAAATCGCGTGTTGTTTTTTCGCTTTGAAAACAGACATGGCACCTTCAGCGAACTCATATTAGTTCAAAATTTATTTCACACTTTAAATAATCATTTTTT